AACTGCAAGCGAAATTGTGCAGACTAAGTCTTCGAAATTGGCGGCATACTCGTACATGCCTATTGCAACTCATTCCTCCTGATTGGCTCATTGACACAGTAGTGCAGGAAGAACGTTACTTAACTGTCACCTGGTGCAAGGAAGATTTGGTAGAACAGTCAGAGCAGTTGTGGGGGCTGGAATCGCGCGGCCTAATATGCGGTGGAAGACCAGCGACAGCTATGACTAACTTGTGACAATGCTCGACCAATATGGGTACTGTAACAGTGAAAGCAAGCTCACGTAACCCCCGATGAGTGGGGGGAGCTATGGATTGGCGATACGATGTTCCTGGGTACTAATTGCAGCCCCTCTCAAAATTCAGAGCCGACGTATATTGGTCGCTGCGAGAAGCCGTTCTATGGCATTTGTGGAGACAGAGAAATGAGATGTAGTAGTCGGCGCCGGGGTATTAACCCTGTAAATGATACAAAACCGAAATCCACGGACTTTACATATCACAGCATAGAATCCCTGCAACATCGCCAATGAGGAACACCGACACTCAACCCTTCTGTCCGCCGCTCAGGCTAAGAGGAGAAATATCTCCCTGTGTGCATTTATATCTACCTTTAGCTGCTGTTTCTAAAAAAACGGCTAGTACGTGAGATACCCGAAACTCCATCCACGTACATCCCTCTTTGGCATAGCCCTCGTCAGGGTAACATTCACCCGGCGGCGACTGTCCAGGCCAACGATAGAAAAGTAGTTTCTGACGCAGCCGGCCTCAGGGTAACAAATTACCCGGCGGCGGCTGTTCTCATAAAATAAAATAAAATCAACCACCTAATAATCTCAAGGACCAGCCTCTATTCATCCCTGTGACACTATTTGCAATTCGGTACCCAAAAAACGACCCTTCTGATCAGAGCTAGGAAATTACTTTGGGCCTCGTACTTTTGTTTTTTTACTATACCGCATCAGTGCACCCTCTCCACACCCGTTCCTCACAATTTTCCACCCTCCTCCCTTTGTTGTTTTCCTTTATGAAATCCATCTCAGCAACTGCTGTATCATATCTTTTTCGAACTCAGAATCCTTTGTTCTCGCCATCCTTCTCAGGCCTGCTTCAAGTAATTCCCTTGGATATCTTATCACTTTCAATTTTTTCATAAACGTTACCAGACTCAACCATAGA